TTGCTTTAGATTATGTCACATTACAAAGAAGAATAAAATTGTCCTCTAAAGTTGTGGGAGGAAGTTTCAAGCGACGAAGAAGTGTTAGGTGGCTCTGATGATGATGAAGAATGTATGGAGGAAGATCAAGAGGCAACTAGTGACCACGGATCAGACTCAGACCTTTCTAAAGGTGTAAGACTAGGTGATCCAAATATCGGATGACATATGTTTTTTATTGTAAAGAGAGTAAAACTTTATGAAATAAATTCCCAATAGTTTTATCAAATATTCAAACCAGAGTAACGAACTCAGTTATGGATCGCAGAAATTAGGTCTCTGGTAGAGACTATAAGCAAAAATAGTCCTGACATTTCTGATTTTTTTAGCAAAACTCAAGGATGAAAAATGAATACAAGTGTATTTGGCTTTACTAAAGACATGACGTTAGTGTCATATAAACTTAAGCCAAATAAAAAAGCGCTTATGCTTTCAACAATGCATTATACATATGAGATCGATGAAAACACAGGCGGTAAGAGAAAACCTGCTACAATAACTCTTTACAACAGCACCAAGGGATAAACATTTGGAATCAATTTGAATAAAAAAAAAACAGAAAAACAAAAATTCAATGTAAACAGTGCCAAATCTATATTTATAAAGATCATTCATTCATCAGACATAGAATTCTGATGACATCATTCATTGAACAAAAAGAATAAATATTCATTATCGTAGATATCTACTAGATTTATTTTTAAGATAGTTACTTCTTTTCAGGAGATAATACATTTACAAAAGCAGTGTTTTTCAATATTTTTAATTTCGCTACCTCTTTACAGGTTGAAATATTCTGGCGACTCTCCTGTGTCATAGAAAGCCAACTAATTAATTAAAAGACAACATATGTTACGTAATAATTTTTGCAATCTTTATCCAATCTTCATCGGCGACGTTGCCACACCGCATTGTCGCTGCACGACAGTAAGTGCCCCACGCGCGCTACCTGCCCCTACCTGCAATGTTTTTTTGTTTCAATTCTCATCTCACTTAGTTAAGCGCAGTCACCGATGCGTACGTACGTCATTCTTTTGTTTTTTGCACGTTTGTAAAATGGATAAATTTTTTAAAAGATTGTAGCCTTCAACATCTGGTACTAGTGGCAATAGCGGTGATGGTGAATCAAACCCGAAAAAATAGGACATCACGATGACCCGTTGGAAATACGGGTTCACAGTCATAAATAATAAACCAAAATGTATAATTTGCAGCGATGTTTTATCACGTGAGATTACGAAACCTTTAAAGCTTATGCGGCATCTCACAACTAAGCATCAATAAAAGCTGATTATATTTCCATAAACAAAAGTTGTAAGCTGTAATTTGAAAATACTATAATTCCAGTAACTAATGATATAATACTGGTTTCCTATTACAATTACTACGAAGTGTTGTCAAGACCTTCAATACACTTAAGCGAGAAACTTCTTCTTCTTCTCTGCCGTTGCTGATCAACATGGCTATTTGCACGTTTGAGACTACTGCGTGGAATAATTCGACCGATGTCATTCCGAACCATTTAAGAGGGTTACACAGCCAAGAAATTCTTCTACGCCCCATGCTTCTTCGTCCAGCTATTTTTCCTTGAAATTAAGCTAAAGGAATTCATATATTGTGCCTCCAGAGACTTGACCAAGGAACTCAAGTTTTCTCTTCTTTATAGTAAATACAATTTCAGGTTCAATATTGAGTCTTTCTAGCACTGCCTAATTTGTGACTCTATACTGCTTCTTAGCGTGTCATAGATATATGCTGCTATCAACAGTTTTTTAATTTTGACGAATGCAGGTTATACTTGTTCAATACGTGAACAAATTTCTTCAGACTGTTGGTTTTTTTCGTTGATGACAGCTCTAAAATATTCGTACCGATGATTCAATGATCTGTTGCAATTAATTATTGTTAACTTTTTTTCAGATAACCATCATTTTGATTTTCTTGATGTTGATATGTAAAGCATATCAGATATTGTCAGCATATCTGACATTGTTGACAATAACTCCCTTTATTGTTATTCCAGCTGATTCGTCTTCCAATGCTTCACCGAAAATATATTCTAAGTATAAATTGAATAGCATTGACGACAGAATACAACTCTGTCATACACCTTTCTGAATATTTATTTTCTCTGGCAGAGAGCCCTCGAGTTTTATTCTAGCCGTTTGACTTCAGTATATTCTTGATATTATTTGAACATCTTGATAATCAATGTTTAGTTTTTGCAAGATTTTCAATAGTTTATCGTGCTTAACATTATCAAAGTGATAATCTTAAGTTGACTCTATTCTAATTGTTGCTATTTTTACTGATAGTTCTTTATGATGTTTATTTCTTTGTTGTTTGCATACTACTTTTGATTATAATTAATTTCGGTGTGCAAAGGTTCCGCGTCCTTAATTTTCATTGACTATTCACTATTTATTTAGAGACTTTTCACTTTTATATTGTTTGGTTTATTTTCAGGCATCCAGTGTAAACGATTCAACATTATTAGCTAACTACAAAGTCGCATATTGAGTTGTTAAAGCAGGGAAACCACAGACAATTGCCAAAAATCTTATTTTGCCAGCATTACTTGATATGGTTAAAATTATGGTCAGTAAGGTGGAAACCAAAGGTGAAGTTTTTCAAACCCGGCTATTAAGAATCGTTTGTAAAGATATGGACTCTCTTCATCAAAATCTCCTTTATCAGAGGTCAGGTGGCAAAGTACTGTTAAGAGTTCTGGAACTGAGATCTGAATTTTTAATGTTCTTACAAGATGCAAAATCTGAATATTATGGTTATTGTTTTCCTGACCCTATTTGGCTCTTGAAGTTAGCATTTTTTATAGATCTTTTTAATTACCTTTACACTTTCAACAAAAACCTTCAAGAAAGAGAAGACATTTTTTAACAGCTAAAGATAAAAAATTTTTATTAGAAAACCTTTATAAAAGGTATATATTTAAAAACCCTAACGGGCTAATTAAACAAAACGTTTTTGGAATCCATATTCCATCATTAGTGTCTAGGGGTACATGAATGTAGCCACTAAATATATGGGTAAAAACCCGTTAACAAATAATTAATTTCATTTGCTATACGATATTTCTTATAATATGTTATGATGTTGAAGTTACCGTTGGATAAGGTAACATGGCGACATATGGCTCCACGTTGAAGTTGCTAGTCCTGAGACGGTGTGTCTACAAGGACTGTATGGAAGCTCCTTGTGGAGCTAAAGATAAAGTAAAAACAAAACTTCGTTTGTGGTCAACCTGTCTGCAAAACAAAATGTTTGAGTATTTTCCATGTGCTCAGAAGATTGTTGAAGATAATGCAACATATTAAAGTTTTGCAGTATCGACATACATTACTTGCATGATACAGAGCTTGCATAATGTACAAGAGCAAATTTTGGGAGTAGCGACCCACATATTGAAAAACACTACACAAAAGGAACATACGTAATACATTTTCCCCAACATTACTTACTTCCTCATTATTTCTGTAAAATATTATCTATTTATTGTTTATTATCTATTTTTATTACTACTACTATTAAATGAAACTGAATTTGTTAAAAAAATGTGCCAGTTAAAATTGTAAATAATGACCACGTAACTTTTTTATACGCGTGTTCAGCTGGGGGAAAGATGTTATGGATCATGAAATCTATATCGAATCAGACTTGCACAGAAAAGAAAGAGAAATTTAGGCAAGAATCAGAAAAATATAGTTTTTTTTTTCGTTTTGTAGCCAAGGACGAGAGCAATAAGGAATACACGAAAATGACAGGATATGCAAAACTGAGAGTAAACGGAATGGAAATGGGATAATGGCAAAGGAAAAATGATCCAAGAAAAACAAAGTAGTGGAGAAGAGTTTGCAAAAACTAACAGGTAATAGTGTATTATTAGATAAAAGTAGTAAAAGAAGCCTTATTTGCATCACAATCACACCTGATTACAAAAAAAAATATCCTAGATAATGCGAAAAGTAGTCGACTGTGATGGATCAGCAGTAATACGTTATTTAGGAATAGATATATAGGGCAACTATTCTAGATAACTAGACTAATTAAGAATATACTCAAAGTAATTATAACGAAAGCCGAATCAAATCTAAGCACCTTGATTATGGTTCCGCTTTTTTCACTGTGAAAGAAAGCAAGATAATCAAATATCTCAAACCAGAAACAACAAATCGAACAGTGATTTAATAATGAAGAGAACCAGGCAGATGAGGGAGCACAGATAGATCATGAAAGGACGTTATCAAAGAAAAATATATGCAAAAACGGTACTATCGACATTGTAACCTGGAATCTTACAACCATAAATGGAAAAGAAACGGAAGTTGTGGAAAACATGAAAAAACTTGGCTTACGACTCTTGGAACTTGGTGAAACTCCAAATAGGTCTGGAAGCATAAATATAAATAGACAATACTTTAGGTATTATTCTGGATAATGCCAATTAATGGAAGAAGGAAGGAGTTGAATTGATAATGACATAGAAATTGGATCGCAGAGTGGCTATAAATAAAACAATATTACCAATAATAATACCGATAAGAACAGAGCTAAAAAATTAAATATTAAAATATATTAGCATTAAAAAGAATAAAAAAGAGAAAGTAGAAATGGAACAATACCGAGTAATCCATAATGATACACGAGTGGCACATGGATAAGCAGTTAGGTAAGAGATGGAAACTTATGAGACGGTGTTAGTTATTCCATTAATTCTACACAGAAGGCATTACAAAAGACGCTACAAAACATAAAAACATAACATAATTAAACATATAATATAGTAATTATGTATTATGATAAATACGATACACCTAATACATATAAAACTATTTTCTTAATATTCTCGCCAGCCAAAATTATAATTATTAAGTATAGCTGATGCACATTGGGCTTATAACAATCACTAAATTAAAATATTTAATAGAAGTATATATACTTACTTCGAATGGGAGCATATATGTTCAAATATAAACAGTCTTCACTTTGATTTTGTAGATACGATTTTAAACGCAAAAAGTATTCTTTTCTAAACGCTGGCATTTTTCTTTCATCAGGAAGCTTTTGAGGGCAAACTGGTCCAAATTGATCAGCATATTTAATACCGAACCATGAAGGTGCTCCCGCTGTAGGCATAAATCGTAGGTCACCAATAGGTGGAGCTGCATAGGGTATTCCTTTAAACACTCCGACCCGGTACTGATTCTCACTATTAATTTTTGGTTCCACTATTACTCCTTGTAATACACCTTGTTTAAGGGTAATATTTTTTGTATATTCCTTCACATACGGATTGTAGTCGTATTGATATGAATTTAAATACACTCCATTGTTAAACATCAACAAGGTGATTACTATAGTCAAAGATTTGGTCAGGTACGCCATTAATGTAGATGCTACCACATCTTATATACTGTTGTTTATTTGACACTATCACTATATATATTTATACAAATTCCAAATTTGAGTAGTTTCGGCTGTAGTATTTTCTTTTAATGTGTATTTGACTAGGTACAATTTAAAAATACTGAAGTTAAAAACATTGAATTTAGAAAATAAAGTTGGATTAACTGTAGCCACAACCCACCAACAAAGTAATTTTAAAGTTTAAAAAGTTAAAAGACTATTATGTTAAATATAGTAAAAAGATTATTATGTTATTTTATTCCCTAAAAGACGTAAAACATCGTGGTAAAGTTTGAATTACCGAGTATAAGCTAAAGACATACGATGATTGCTACTTTTCACGTAAAAGTAGATGATGATCTGTAAACTATGAAAATAGACCTTTGCAAAGGTGTGAGACAGGGCGACACCATCTCACCCAAGTTATTTACTTAGGCATTAGAAAATGTCTTCAAAAAACTAAATTGGGACAAAAAGGGATTAAAAATAGATGGAGTATATCTTAACCATTTGCGTTTTGCAGACGACATAGTACTAATAAGCACAGATATCCATGAATTAAAATCAATGCTAGAAGATTTAAATCACAAATCGAATCAAATAGGATTAAAAATGAATCTCGACAAAACAAAGATCCCAATACACTTTAAAAGAAAAACCTATGATACTTGTATACTAGAAGTTGCAACTTATGAATTGAAAACTATGGCTATAACAATAAAAATGGCAGAACAATTAAGAGTAACTCAACGGGCCATGGAGAGGGCCATGTTAAATATAAGCCTCAGAGACAAAATTCCTAACACCGAAATACGTCGAAGAACTAAAGTAACCGACAACGTAGGAAAAATAGCGACATTGAGATGGAAATGGGTAGCACATGTAGCAAGACAAGACACCAACATAAGGTCTCATTAAGTGACATTCTGGAGACCTCGAGAAACAAAAACGAAGCGTGGGAAGACCCAAAAAGAGATGGATAGACGATATAACAATTGTAGCTGGAAAGCAGTGGATGATAATTGAAAAAGATAGGGAAGTGTGGAAGCAATTAGAGCAGTCCTATGTTCAACAATAGATAAATGAAGGCTGAAGAAGAAAGAAGAAGAGAAGCTAAAGACAGCTCAACTTCAAGTATTGACGGCAGGTTCCATTAGACTTCTAATGACTATACATTATAAATTTCCTAGGTTTTCGACAATTACAAATCAACCTGTACCAAGAAAACAAAGCAATAAAGGCACATAAACAACGAGTCTTCAGTCATCCGAAAACTACAAAAGTGAATCTCGTTACAGGGCATATTTCAGAAAAATTAAAAGCCTCAAACATTGACCTAGACCTAGGATATAGAAAAGAACTTTAGGGTCGCCATGTGGACAGGTCTACGGGGCTGAACGACTTTTTTATTTACAATATATATCTAATCAAAAATAAGTGAATTTTGCTATGGCTTTAATTAATTTTTGGTTATCAAATCAAAGACAATAAATTATGGATGGCTATTATTCTAAACTTTAATGATGCTTAAGGGGGGTTGGGACAGGGTAGGAATATTTTAAACATAGTTTTAAGACTGTATTCTGAAAAATTATTTAATATAACTTTATTTATAACATTGGTACATTATAAGGGCGGCTAATTTTCCAAGATGAAAAAAATCATAGGTTGACAAAAAACCAAAACGATTTCGTTAGCTTATGAGTTGGAAAAGGGCGCAACGTCGAGATATTGTTTATTTTATTGTTTTTTTTTATTTCAGAAGTAAGGAAAGTCGAATTTTTTGAATTTATAAAAATTTTTTGGTAAAATTTGACACATTTGATGTTATAAAATTAGTTATAACAACAAAATAGACCATATCTAGACCTAGTAATTTATCTAAAAAAGAAGTATGCAAAATTTGAGAAGGATCGATCAAGTAGTTTTTGGGATACAGTAAACACCGACTTGAAAAAAATTATTGCAAAAAAAATGCGTTTTTAAAATATTTTTTTCGATACTCACACAGTATCGCAACTCCATAGAGTAATGTGCTTCGTGCTAAAATATCTAGAGGATCTTTTTGCCCCTGCTTTCGATAAACTTTGCCTTTTTTTGTTGGTTCTGCAGCCATTTTACCTGCTCTAGTAATTCGACTGTTGTCTGGCGCGAGTGCATAATTATTAAAATTTGACACTGTAATTATTACAATTTTTATGAGAGTGTTTACTCACCTCACCCGCTCATCTCACTAACTTACCAAGCTCACTCACCTCACTCACTCACTTCAGTCACTCACTCATTTCAATCAGTCATCACAATCACTCACCTCACTTACTTACGTCGTTCACTCACCTCACTCGCTTACTTACCTCAATAATTACTCACCTCACTCACTTCACTCACCTACCTCACTCACCCACCTCATTCTCTCACCTAACTCACTCACTCACACCACTCATTCACTTCACACACTCAACTCATTCACTCATAAATGCATATAACTTCATCAATTTTGCTTCTATCACTCTGAAATTTTAACTGAATACTATCGAATAATAAAAAAAAATAGGAATATGCAAAATAGAACCCAACCCCCCATTAAAAAAATATAAATTGGAAATAAGAATAAAGTCCTTATTTTATATGTCTTAAAATTATCATCTATATCTTATCTTCTTCTTCTTGATGTTCCTATTCGTTACAAATGTTGGCGATCATCATGGCAATATTTATCTTATCTGCAGCAGCGCGGAAAAGCTGCACAGATGTTGTATTAAACCAGATTCTGAGGTTCTTTAACCAAGATGTTCTTCTTCTTCCTGGACCTCGCTTTCCAAATATTTTTCCTTCCAAGATGGCTTGAGGGAGAGCATATCTGGATTCATTTCGCATAATATGTCCAAAGAATTGTAACTTTCGAGATTTAATGGTGGTCAGTACCTCTTGGTTCTTATTTATTCTTCTGAGGACCTCCTCATTTGTGACTCGGTCAGTCCACGGGATCTTAAGTATTCTTCGATATAGCCACATCTCAAATGCTTCCAGTTTTTTGCAAATATCTTCGTTTAAGGTCCACGATTCAATACCATAAAAAAGGACAGAGAAGACACAGCATCGCAGCATTCTTACTTTTGTATCAAAAGAGAGGTTGTGACTCGTGAAGAAGGCCCCCATCCGATTGAAGGTGGATCTAGCTTTTGCGATGCGTGCTCTAATCTCCTGGTTGTCGGTCCATTCTTCATTTATTAAGGTGCCGAGATAGTTGTAGTGCTTCGTTTTTTTACAGGAGATTGGTTGACGTAAAGTTGACCTTCTGTTATCCTTTTCTTGCTAATTATCATAAGCTTTGTCTTCTTAACGTTTATATTGAGTCCATATTGTTGACTGTAATACGTGATTTTGTTCATAAGAGCTTGTAGGTTTTCTAAGTTGTCCGCAAATATTATGGTGTCATCTGCATATCTGATGTTGTTTAGCCGGTAACCATTTACTATATCTTATAAACAAAGGTAATTTATACCGTTTTTCGATATCTTCCGATTTATATCTCAATTTCGTTCTCCAACTTACACCAGGAACTTCTTTTTTATTGAGTGCCTATCACAAAACCTGTTTCATATATTTTTGAAATTAATTAATACTATTTAACCGTCTATTGCTTTATTGTTCTTCCAGTTGTATTATAAAGAAAATTGCATCTATTATGTATAACATGGAATAATTTCCTTTTCCGCTCATACTCTTCTTCACAAATTTAAAAAAGTTGCGTTACAGCTAGAAGTCGAAACGAAACGTATTTCCGATTAAATTTGTAAACAATTTCCAAAACAAAAATATAATGATATAACTAGATTAATAATCACAATTAAATATATATTTCCTGAAAACTTGCTTAAACTCCGAATATAAGAAAAAAGTTGGAGTATACATAAAAAACGTATTTTAGCTTTTCCAAAATTTACATGACTAAACTTTTTCGTAGGAACAAAATGGTATTATTGAATTTTAGGAATTATTAAAGACGTCACTTGATACAATGTATGTGAAGCATACAATTAAAATTAAATTGAAGAATACTGGGATAAAAATATTATTGGGAAACGCTAAACCCGAAACTCTAAGAATAACGAAATTAGTGAAACTACCAGCAAATGCGGGATGCTACCCAATGATTTCAGTTAGAAACTGTGTAAGGTTAACCATGCACCCATTAATATTAAACTTAACAGGCTTCCGGGTTGACCCGCGTCGAATGTCACTGTTGAATGTCACTGAAATTGCATTGCCAAATACACCGCAATGTTTTAATTATCAGCTTCCTCCATTTAAAATAATTTTCTCCTAAATAGCATTTATAAATCGGTAAAATATTCTTCCTTCTTTATTGCTTTTTTGTTTATTCTTCTTTCTAATAATTTTTTTTATTCCAATCTTCAATCACCATATAAATATTATAAGTTTTAATTTCTTCTCATCTCCAATAACCATATAAATATTATAATTTTTAATCTCTTTTAATCTCCATATACATAATATAATTTTTATTCTCCAGCTAATAGTTATTAATACTATTTTCTAATCTTCATCTAATATACTTTCCAACTACTGAATCACTGATTAATATCTTGAATAATGCATTACTGACTACTGTATATTGTACTGTATAATGCATACTCTAATACTGACCATCGTATACTGTCCTGTCTCCTTCAAATCACAGAGTATTTATATCATTTCAATATTCACGAATATTCTTGAAATAAAATATATTCGAATCCTTATATTTCATAGATATTTGAATGTTCGCGAATATTCTACTACGAAAATAGGTTAATTTCTTTCAATTGACGTCTTATTTTAAAGTTCTACATAATTCGTTATTTTTCTATGGAGAATTTTATAGAAATTTCGGCTTTTCAGATCAGAATGTAAACTTATATATAAATTAAACATCTTAAATTAATAAATAACACTATTTTAAATCCATAATTATTATTTCCACTGTCTCTTATTCACAAAAGTTCCCACAACCAAATTTACTTCAGTGTATATTTGGTTGCCTATAAAGATGGCGTAATCAAATATATTTATAATATAATTATTAAAATAACCAAAT